CATAAAAAAAAAAAAACTACAGAAAATAGCATTGATGAGTAAATATATATAATAATCAAGATCCCAGAAATTCAGCACAAGAACAGAGTACTAAAGGCTGTTAGAAAAAAGATACAGATCACCTGTATAGGAAAACCAATCAGAATCACAGCAGACTTGTCAACACAAACCATCAAGTTAAGAACAGTTTGGAGTGAAGTGTTTGAAATTCTGAAAGAAAACAACTCCCAACCCAGATTAATGTACGCTGCAAAACTATCTTTCAAAATTGATGGGATAATAAGATACTTCCATGATAAAGAACTGAAGGAATTCATGACTACCAAACCAGCCCTACAGAGAGTGCTGAAGGATATTCTAGAGAAAGATAAAGGTGACGATGATTCCAGGAACAGAAAAGGCTGCCGCATAGCCAAAGGAAAAAAAAAAACAACAGAAAATCTCTGCCAGTTATTTATCTGACAGAGGACTATTATCTGGAACCTATAAAAACACAAAAAAATGAACACCAAGGATGTTAAACACCAAAATAACTAAATGATCAATAAAGGGCAATGAATTTAACACCAACACATTAATCAACAGAAGGGCAAGTAAAGTAAACAGACACTTTTCAAAAGAAGCATAAATAGTTATATGAAAAACTATTCCACATCTTTAGGCATCAGGGAAATGTAAATCAAAACTGTTGTACACTAAGATTCTGTCACCCCAAGTAAAGACAAAAAATACTAAATGCTGATGAGCTTACAGGGGAAAAGAATCTTCTACACTGTTGATAAGCCTGTAAACCAGTATAAACAAGAAGGAATAGAAGAAACCAAAAATACAAATACCAAATCCTTTATTTTAAATTAAAGGCTTCCACTTCCAGGAGAACATGGCAGACAAATAACAGCAACCACGGAGGCTCTCTGAGATTACCAGCTTAGAATCCAGGAGCAGTGCCATGTGAAGAGTCCTACGCGTAGGGAGATGTACCCTGCCGACCCAGGAACAAAGTAAGCTGAGAGAAACCAACTGGAAATGCAATCCTGATGCTATAACAGGAACAGATAAAATCTCAGTGCGGAAGCTAGATCCTGTGCCATTGGAAGCTGCAATTTGAATTTTCTGCTGCTGATACTGCGTCCCAATCCACACAGCAGGGAGAGAGACGCGCGAAAGCTCTGAGAGCAGGAATCGGCCCAAACAGTGTCGAGAGCAGGACTGGCAGGGAGCCCTGCATCGACCTGCGGTGAGTGAGAGAAATGGGGACCCTTTCATAGACCAGGAGGCTCCAACAGAGGACATTCTGGGAATGGGCAGACTAGCCGGAACACAGCCCTACAGTGACTTTAGTCGCATATTCCCCTCTCAAGCGGGAGTGGTGGGGAGCGCTTGACCTGGTGACGCCGCGGACTAAGATCCTGTAGGCTAGCCCAACTCAGGTCCCTGCGCCTGGTGGTGCACCCTAGCAGTAAAGCATTCATAGGTTGACCTGAAGGGGCGGGCCCAGCAGAGGCTGCCCAGGTCTGTGTCTCCCTAGTACACTGCAGTGGGCAGGAACACCTAGCCAGCAGATTCAAACAGACTGCAACAGACAAGGAGAAAAAAAAAAAAAAAACTGAGCCTCCTACATACGCTTGTATGGAAGGAACAAAAAGTATGGGAAAAGGGAGCAACAAGAAAGGGTCCTCAGTCCCCAATCCTGAGAACACTGATCCAGGAAAGGTAAAAGCAAAAGAGAATGAAGACAGAAAACATGCAATATCAGACACGGCACCAATAGACATAAAACGGTATCTCTGGAGCCTCATAGATGAGTTCAAAAATGAAGTATTAATGAAATAAAGCAAGAAATAAGTAGAATAGTTAGAGAAATGCTAAGCATCGCTCAAGAAAAAACAGATGGTGGAATGGAAGAACAGAAAAAAAGGGGAGAATTGTTTGATGGAGAAAATAGAGAAAACATAGAATATGTGAAGCATGTAAACAGAGATTACCAGGAAACTAAAAACTCTATTGAAAGCTGGCATAACAGCTTGAAAGAAACTAAGGATAGATTATCAGAACTGGAGGACAGATTTGTAAGGTGGGAGCATGAAATGAAAAGCTTCTTAATAACAAGAAAACAAACAGCAATAATACAAAGATTAGAAGATGACAAGAGGATCTATAACTTAAGAATTAAGAACATAAAAGAAGTAGGAACTCAAACAAATGAACTACAAAAGCTGTTCACAGAAATAATCCAGGAGAATTTCCCTAATTTAGAAAAAGGTAAAGATACTCAGACGTTGAGGCATACAGGACCCCAGCCACCTACAACCCAAACAGAGCTACACCCAGGCATATAATAATCAAAATTCCAGAAATCCAACATAAGAACAAAATATTAAAAGCCATCAGAGACAAGAAACAGATCACTTACAAGGGAATACTCATCAGAATTATAGCAGACTTTTCAGCACAAACCATCAAATCACAAGGAGCATGGGGGAAATAATTCAACCTCTGAAAGATAATAACCTCCAGTCAAGATTGATATATCCTGCACAACTGTCCCTAGAAATTGATGGAAAAACAAGATGCTTCCAGGATAAAGAGGAACTAGGGGAATTTGCAACCACAATTCAACTCTACAGAGATCACTGCAGGATATTCTAAAAATGAAAAAATACCAAGATTCCAGAAACAGTGGCAGAGGGGCCACAATGAATGGAGCAGAAAGCGAAATGAAGAGGACAAACTGACAACTAATGACAGAAAAAAAGCTCAAGAGAAATGAGGCAGAGAAGGTTGGATGGTAGGAACAGCCATTTTTGAGAAAACAAGACATCATAATAGGTAGTGCTGATTTAATATCTTGTTTTGAAGTCCCATCAAGCTTTTGTTCTTCTGTCTCCATCGGTTTTAACGTGTTGTATCTTATTGGATTTTATTATATGTTATACAATAAACAAAAACTTTTATAGACAAGGAGATTATACAGAAACCATTGTTCATTTTCTGTTAGTTGATTCTAAATACCCTGTAATACTGTCATTCTCTTGAACGGGTTTACATTGTCTTGATATGTTTGATGCTACAGTATACGAAGTTATAACCAAAGATTTTAAGGGAAGAGACACTATGGTAACTACTATTATGTCGAAATTATCTTGTGGTGAAACACTATTTTGCTTAAATGGCTATGTTTTGACCTGCACTGTTTTGTTGTTATGCCCTCTTGTTTATCTCAATCTCCTTTTTATTATCTACTTTTTCATTTTTATCCTTTTAATTAAGGGAAAAATACATAAAAAATAGCAGTATATATTATAGTAACCCACTTTGATTTCCTATTAACTTGATTTGAAAGTCTGTATTGTTCTCACCATCTTTTTTTGACTGATTTTCCTCTATTCTGTTATGCTTGATAGTACCAAGTTTGAAAGTATAGGCAACAACTATGAAGACAATAAGATCCATTGTGACGCCCATTCTGGTTGACTATTATATTCTTTTGAAGTCGTCTAATGTCTTCAATGTTTTGGTTTTATTGGTCTTATTCTTTACTGTTTTGTTCAATTTTATTATAACTGATGATATAGGCAATTCTTTTTAAGATAACAAGAGGCATTATGGTAACCATTGTTGATCACCTTGTATTTTGTTTTTACACTATGTATTATGTCCATCCTTTTGATTTGACTGACTCTGTCCTGGTATGTCACATTTGGTTTTACTTTCTTCAAAAAAAAAAAAAGTAATAAGAACTGTGGGAGCAATAAAACACAAAATGTGCAATTGTCATTATACAAAAGAAAGGAAAAGAAAGTTCTCTAAAAGATATAACTGCATATATATTTAAGTGTATAAGAGAGATAACCATATTACTGAGTTTTGTTGGATTATTGAACAAAATTGTTTGCAGTCTCACTGTTTGAAAGTCCCCTATATATGCTTTAATTTTGTAACTTCAACAACTTTTTCTAAGATGACAATATGTAATTAACTAGTGATTTCCTAGTGTTTATTTTTTCTGAAATTCTGTATAACTTGTACCCTTTTTCTGTTTTTTTTTTTTTTTCTTTTTTCTCCTTAAATAAAATTAAAAAAAAAAAATTAAAGGCTTCCATGCTGGGGGATTGGTAAGACAGTTCAAATGTTGTACACAGGGAAATCTTAACAACATGGCTACTAAAATTTTTCAAATTATGAATGAGCCTCATATTATTCCTACTAAACAACATTACTTTTAATTTGAGCCATGATATTTCCTTTACAGAAAAAGTAGAAATTCAGGATTGCATAAACTGATCAGAAATCACCAAACACTACATAACCCTTCTAGAGATCCCACTAGCCTGACTGAACTTTGTATTCTGCTATTTAAAAACCAAAACTGAAAATGTTAGCATTATCATAGATGTTGAGTTCAACCTTGGAATATTAAGTTTCTGACAGAATTCAAAATAAATTCAAATGGCTCAATGCACTCACGAGGACTTGTCAGCTAACAAAAGATAAAGAGCAACTTGCATATGAATAGTGGGCAGGATCTGGTAGTCAGATCGCAAATTTTTATGTTTTAATGACAAACAGGTTGGTGACTAAAGAGACAGTAATGGGCCTGCTGCATGCAACAGGAAGCTGGAGTAGACAGGAAGGCAGAAGAAACACAAGAGCAAAAGAATTCAGAAGGAGAGATGAAAGGAGTGTGCAGAGAGAAAGTCAAGGCAGAGAGAAAGTGAGGCAGAGAAAGTTGATTAACGGGACAAATGCTATAGGGAAGTGAAAGCGATGGAAGCTAACTCTTTGCAAAAGAACAGAAATTTCATGGGCTGCAGATCATGATAACAATGAACGATTTCTATAAACCTGGCAAAGCAAAAAGAAGACAGTCTCCAAGGCAGAGAGGAAAGATGGAGGGATCAAAGCACACTTCTCAGTCCCACTCATACAGAAAGCTTTTCTGGGGTTTTGAAAAACATTCGCTTAGCAATGAGAAGCTCAAAACCCATCAGCTGCCTTACCTGAGAAAGGTACAAAAGCATGTCGCATGCTCACTGAAAATGGCATCCCTCTATCTGAAGCTTTCTTCATCTGCGCCTGGTGCCCCGGGTTCCGGACACAACGCCTCTTATTTTGTCTTCTATCACACAAACAACACTATCAGCTAGACATGAAGTATCTTAAACATGTGAGATACTATGATTTTCATAGTGCAGTCAATATTTCCATCTAAGAAGCTTAAACACAATCTGAAACTTACTTTAGAGTTAATAAAGATACTAGACCTCTTGCAGTAACTATTCAATTAACAGTAAGGCATATCTGTAATCACCTTTCCCACACTCTGCTTCTGAGAGTAAGCTGACAAATCTCTTTGGCCAGATTCCATACAAATGATCTGTGCTATTTCTTCCCATCATGTGTCCATGGGAGGGTGGCAGGTTAGAAGGGGTGCTGCTCACATTGCCAGCTCCATCCCTTCATTATTTATCTTAAACTAGTCTATAGTGCTGGTTGTTTTGATCAGTAACCTAGGTTTCCAGCCTTTCAAATCTGCTAGCTTCACTCCAGACACACTCAGGACTTGAATGGGCATGCCTGGAATGTAAAATTAAACTTACATCTTTATTTTGTATAATAGGCTATTTTCAAGGCATTCATACTCTCAAAACTTGGTTAGTACCCAGATAGAGAAACAAACCTACCTGCCCATGGGCAGTAGGTCTCTGCCTATGGACTGAGAAGGGGGACTCTCTTCTACGAGGGTTGGCATTTTGATTTCAAAATCTCTTGGCACATTCTGGATATTTGGTTCTGTAAAGGTTATTCGTCCTAAAATTAAGCAGAATAAAGACATAAAATTAGAAAAAATGGACATTTCTTTTAACATTTTTTTCTGAATTTCTTTTAAAATGCTCTATTAATGCTAAACTAAATATGATTTTGTTAATGTTCATGTGTCTTGAAATAAAATTAGCACAAGACCACCCCAAAATAATGAATCAGCTACAACACTATGTTCTACGTTAATCTGGCTCTCTGGAAAACAATCCCATAAGAAGCAAGTTGACAAGCTAAATTACTCCTATGCCAGAATAAGTACCAAACATCAGCACTACAATAGGTGAGCAGTCATATAAACAAGTAAGGATGGATCCAGCGGGCCAGGGGTAGGGGGATGACTGTGGGAGCCTGCAAAGGTGGGGGTCACAAGACAGGGGGCAGTGTCTGGAGCAGAAGGGCAGATGGATGCTGACAAGGACAGTTGGGACCAAAGACACTCACTACGTGGCCGACGGAGGGGCAGGGAGAGGTGGCGACTGAACCTTGCTCTCAGACATCATCTAGCTGGGTGTTTTCATTGGTGTTATCACTGAAAAGAATCAGCAACAGTACTGGCATGGTCAGAGACTAGAATCAAGTGGCTGGTGAATTTTCTAGTAAACAGAAATTCGTCCACCCCATCCCTACCACCACCACTGTTCAAAATGTTTTATATTTGGCTTTTCACCCAAAGTATGCAACTAGTCTGCCAAACAAAGTGGGGGTCATTAGTTTTGTTACTGCTATTATTATAACATATGGTACAACAATATAACCCTCATTTCATGACACCCACTTAAGGGTAACAAGCTCTCCAAGAAGTACTGTACATAATTTTACCTTTTTCTGATAAATCAGACATATAAGCACCTTGTTTTTCTCAATAAACTCATGATTTTACATCTTTAATGAGCTGTTAGCACATTATAAATACTCAATTAGTGGTAACATTCTGTATAATTATTATCATCAAATGCCCTGTTCAATATCCAAAGCTAACAAATAGAGAAGGCCATCAGTACCTGCTGTGGCCTTTCACTGAATTAACAAGGTAACACTGGCAGACCAAAAAAAAGATGGTAAAATGGGAAAGGGATCAAGAGACAGAGGAGGAAAGAGACAAAGGAGATATAAAAAGAATTAAGATGTCATATGTACTTGTATCAGCTCCCCATGATGAACGTAATTATTATGTACTATAAACAAGTACTAATAAAAATAAGAAGTTTTTAAAAATTTACCATTTTTTAAAAAGTTAGTGAAAATAAATTACAAACCCTAAATATAGATGAATGGAAATGAATTCTAATCATTAGAATCAAATTTTCAGCTTCGCCATGCTTAGAAAGCTTGTATGTCTAAAATATTAATATTATACCATTACAAAAATTATAAAACATTATTAAACCTTTAAACTAGTGTATCTATAAAATAAGTAATAAAAGTAGAATTGGTTGCTTCTTACTTCATAAGTAATAGGTGAATGTATAACACCTTTGAAAACTCTGGGCTGATTCTAGTTTATCAAAAAGTATTTTATATAAATTTATGACATTAGCAGATATTCCAAAGTGAAGCACATAACACCCATAGGCAAAATACTCAGGAACATCTCATCCCCAATAAATTGAAGGGATAAGATCTTGCAAAAGAATCAAAAACAAGAAACCAGCTACACCTGGATGACATAACTGTAATGAGTCATTTCCTAAAGATTCTAAACACTAGCAATAAATCTATTACCATTAGCAATTGAAAAGCATTGACTAAGGAATTAAACTAAAATAAATGAATAAATAAAAATGAAGAGACTTAAGTAAGACACAACTGCAGACATGGCCATTCAAAGAATCCAAAGAATCCTCATGGCCATGAGGTGAAAGAATCCAAAGCCACTCACTTGGACTCTCTGCCATGATAAAACTGGAAGTAACAAAGCAGAAAAATGAGGTTCCGGGGCTGGGGGTTTAGCTCAGCGGCATAAGCACCTGCCTTGAAAGCAGGCGGTCGTGAGTTCGATCCCCGGTACCAATAAAAATGAAAAAGACAAAAAAAAAAAAAAAAAGAAAAAGAAAAATGAGGTTCCAGGAAAAAATCAGGTCAGAAATAATTTCTCAGATAACTATAGAGATAATGACCACAATAAGATTTGGTATGTGACTTTAGAGCAGACAGACAGAAAAATTAGAGGAGCTTATGAAAATTATGGGTGAATGCCCAATATAGGAAACAAGTGGAATCCATGAAATAGATTCAAACAGATATCCAGAAGATAAAAAAAATTCCATTGAAATTGTAGCAGAATGAGCCAATGTGAGGACAGAATATCATACCTAGAAGGCAAGACTGTGGTTAGCAATCATGAAAATAAAAATTTCTTTAAAATAGCAAAAAGCACAAGACATCAATCCAGCAACAGCTAGACAATGCAAAGAAGAATAACATAGTATTCAACTGAGTCAATGAAAATGGAAGAGATGGCAAAAATGACATTAAAAACAAAAAACAAAAAACTTGTTCCCAGAAGTAATGGTAGAAAACTTCCCAAGCAGGGAAAAAGCACTTGACATACAGATAAGTGAAGCGTGTAGAACTCAAATTAGCCAAGAGCAAAAAAAAAAAAAAAAAAAAATCTACACCAAGGCATATAATATTCAAGATTCCAGAAATTCAATACAAGAATGCTAAAAGCTAATAGAGAAAGTAATCACCTATCAAGGCAAAGCCATAAGAATCACAGATTTATCAACACCAACCCTCAATTCAAAGAGAATTTGGAGTAAAGTATTCAAGCCCTAAAAGAAGACAACTTCCAACCCAGATCGATATAGCCTGCAAAATGATCTTTCAAAGTTGACTTAGAATTAAAGTATCTCCATCGTAAGAAAACCTGAAGAAATTCATGACCACCAAACCAGCACTCAAAAATGTTCTGAAGGAAATTCTAGAAAGAAGTAACATGGACTAAAAACTCCATAAACTCCAACAGAATGAATGCAGCAGGCAAAGAAAGTGATTAAGCAGAAAGAAAAAAGGGATACAATCACATTGAGGTGTTTATCAATAAATGGGCACAGCTTGAAACCATACTCATAAGTGAAATAAATCAAACTCGTATCTGTGAACACCGAATAGTTTCCCTAGTGTAGGAAATGATTCAAATATATAAAAGTATGTGATAACCATGATTCCCCATTATGTGGCCTTGAAGCCCTATAAAGTTTTCACTCATTAATTGGAATGGTTTTATTTTGGGCTATTTGATATTGTGGCCTGTGATGCAATGAACACCTATTTTGAAGAAAACAAGACATCATAATAGCTAGTGCTGATTTAGTACCATCTTGTTTTGAAGCCGCACCAAACTATGGCTCTTCCGTCTCCATTGATTTTATCATGCTGGATTTTCATCGTATGTGGTAGTATAAACAAAAATTGTTATAGGCAATGAGACAATATAGAAACCATTGTTCATTTTTCTGTTAGCTGTTTCTAAATACTCTACAATGCTTTCATCCACTTGAATGGTGTTACACTGTCTTGATATGTTTGATGCTATAGCATATGAAGTTATATTCAAATATTTCAAGGAAAAAGACACTATGATAACTACTATTAAGTCGGGTTATTTGGTGGTGAAGCACTAGGTCGCTGAAAGTGTCATGCTTTAACCTGTATTGTTATGTTGTTATGCCCCCTTTTATTTCAACCTTCCCTTATTCATTAAAAAATTATTTAATTTTTTAAATTTCTTTTTTAAATTAAGGGGAAAAATCAAGAAAACTAGCAGGATATATTATAGTAACTTTTTTGATTTCCTATTAACTTGAAGTCCTGTAATACCTCCGTTATCTTGTTTTGACTGATTAGACTCTATTCTGCTCTGTATTAAAGCATCAAGTATCAGAGTATAGGCAACCACTTTGAAGGCAATAAGATTCACTATGATGCCCATTCTGGTTTGACTATTATCCTCTTTTGAGGTTCTGTAAGATTTACAATGTTTCGGTTTTATTGGTCTTGTTCTCTACTGTTTTGTTCAACTTTATAATACCTAATGAGATAAACAATTCTTCTTAAGGAAGCAAGAGGCATTATGGTAACCGTTGTTGATAACCTCGTACTCTGTTTTTACATCGTGTACTATGTCTATCCTTGGTTTTGACTGACAGAAGGAAAAAAAAGTGCCCTAAAGGATACAACAGCAAGGGTGTTTAGGTGTGTTAAATAGAAGACCATATTAATATTTTTGATTGGATTACTGAACACAACTATTTGCAATCTCACTGTTTGAATGTTCACTTTGTATGCTTTGATCCTGTGACCTGAAACACTGTTTCTAAGATGATAGCATGTAATCTATTAACTGGTGATAGGTTACTGTTTTTTTTTTTTTTTTTTTTTTTTGGTAGTTCTGAATTACTTGTACCCTTACACTGTTTTGTTCTGCTTTTTTTTTTCTTCTTCTCTTTTTCCTTTTAAATAAAAAAAAAAAAAAAGAAATACATGGTGAGATATTTCTCCTGGGCTAACCCTAATGACTATGTTACTGTATATTTTTTATAGTGTTGACACCTTGTTCTGTCAAGATTAGCAATCCCTGTCAGTATTTTTGTGTTTCCCTGATTTCTTCTAGAATTTTACAACCTTATGGATTTAATACTTCATTTTTGGTACTAAAGATTTGTAACACTTATAAACTCATTGTTGATTTAAACACAGGTCATTATAAGAATGTGTAGAACAGAAATTGGTGCCCGATAATTGCTCCATTATTACTATTGATTGCAAAATAATTCTTTATGTCCTTGATAGTTATTTACCTGAATTTATTCTTTTCTTATGTCTACAATATGATTGTTTTTTTAATCTTTTAACTTTTCTGAGTCATAAAGAGATTCTTTGTTTTAAATGTGAATTTCTACATATTTATCTATGTTTTGACCCTTGTAAAGAATCTTAAGTTTATTAACACATAGTTATTTGCAATCTTAATGTGACTTGTATTA